TCCAAGCACTGTCCAGCCTGGCCTTGAACACTGCCAGTTATGGGGCAGCATGTCTCACCTCCCTCACAGGGAAGAACTTCTTCCTTATATCTAATCTAAATCTCCCCTCTGCCAGTTTAGAGCCATCACCCCTTGTCCCCTTGTCCTATCCCTGCATGTCCTTGTCAAAAGCCCCTCTCCAGGTATCTTGTCAGCCCCTTTAGGCACTGGAAGCTGCTCTAAGGTCTCCCCGGAGCCTTCTCTTCTCCAGGGAGAGCAAGCCCAGCTCTCTCAGCCTGTATCCATAGGAGAGGTGCTCCAGCCCTTGGAACATCTTCATGGTCTCCTCTGGACTTGCTCCAACAGGTCCACATCCTGCTTATGTTGGGAACCCCTTGATGCAGCACTGAAGGTGGGATCTCACAAGAGCAGAGTAGAGGGGCAGAATCCCCTCCCTCGCCATGCTGGTCACGCTGCTGGTGATGCAGCCCAGGACACGGTTGGTTTCTGGGCTGTGAGCGCACGCTGCTGGGTCATAGTGAGCTTCTCATCAACCAACACCGCAGTCTTTTTATGTAGAGCTGTGCTGTCTCTAAAAGTCCTGAAGGCAAGAGCAGGAGGGTCCCCTGCACAACACTGAGGAGCTGATACAAGAGTCAGCTCACTGGGACACGGGGATCAGAGAGAAGAGTTACAGCTCACCAGAATCACAGGAAGGGCCACTGGTTTTTAGAAGCTTGTGTTTAATTTCCAAATTCCTAATGGAAAGGAGCTGTAAATCTAGTATTTAGTGCTGTAACCTGTCTCCCAGAAAATTGTCTAGGACAGGTAATCTTTCTTCTCTTCAGGTGGGGTAGTGCTGAAATCCAGGCTCAGGAGGTGCATCTGAAGGGCAGAAATCATTTTAGGAAGAGAAGAACCACTTGAAGGATTTAGAATTAACTTTTAGAAACACTAAAAGTTTACTTAAAATAAGCCCTAAGCAGGAGATAGATAACATTGCAGTTCTGCCTCATTGCCAAGTGGTGAGGGACTTGGAATTTACTAGTTTGAGGGTCCATTAATTTGAGGGGTGGGAGAGTGGCAGCTGGGGGACTGAACACGTGCACCTCAGTCAGGCTGGAGCAGGCCACCGGATCGGTGCTCAGAGACCAACCAGCTGCATGGCTCAGATCCTGCAAGAGTCAACACTGACCTGAGAGGTGCTGCCTCGGGGGAGGCAGGGATGTTGCTGAGGTCAGTTTGCTGAGGTGAATTAGCTTGGAGGTGCCAAGGAAGGGGTGAGGATGTGTTTGCCAAAGGTGAAGGCTTGGAGTGACTGCTGAGGCATGAATCCAGTTACTCCACATTTTGGCCGGTGCATCACACCAAGGTATTACTTTTTCGTTCACAGAGGGTCCCATTTGATTCAAACTTTATCCCTAGAAGTTTCATGAACTTGACATGTAGCATCAGTCTTCAAGCACATGATCTTACGCTTGTAGGTGTGTGCTCCTGCAGAAAGCCAGGTGGAGGCACCACCCTGCTAGACAGCAGAACTGTTAAAGCACTTCCTTACACACTGAGCTAGCGAGGAGGTGATTGACTGGAATTGTTTCCTGTACTACGTGGTGGAGGTTTTTCTGTAAGCAGCTGTGCAAACATCATGCAGACCAGAGGTGCTGGTTAGAGACTGGGTGGGATACATCCCATCTCTCCCTGAGGGATATCGTGACACCATCATCAGCATGGGGTTATGAGTGCTGCGTTACTTTCTGTAGCTTAGAAGTGTAACATAAACCAAATGCTTCCTTTTAAGGTGCCGTTACAGCAGAACCCGTGCAAATTAGTGTTTGCTTAAGGCAAAAGCAAAGAGGGAGGATGTGTGGATGTTAGTGGCAATGCCCAGGAAGCTGAACAGATTAACACAGTAAAATCAAATTTAGCAAGTAACCTGTAACTGCTTTTACTTCACCAGAGGTAGCAGTGCCTAGATCTGTCTGAGTTGCTTGGAGGTGAAAACATTTGCCTGGTTATGGAGGAAGATAGAGAATGGGAAGGGTGCCGAGGGAAATGCTGAATTAAGGGCCTCTCCCTGGGAGGCTGCCTCATCTGCTTTCCATTTCTGCTAAACCCACAGTCCAGCAGCACAGGGGTGTGGGCAGAGCTGGTCTGCTGCTTACCCAGTTAGTGCTGGAAACCAAGAAACCGAGACATTCTAATCGGTTTTCTCACTTCTGCACCCACTAGTAAATGAGTACTTTCTCCTTATTTCAGCAGGGAGGTACCTTCAGGCATCTCAAAAGGTAATGTACAACTTACTTACCAAAAGAAAAGGAATTTGATGGGAAGGTTAAACACCTCATTTTGCATTTAAATGATAAAGTTAGAGGTTAGGAGAATACAACATGCTGCTGCGAAAGGTTTAACGCTCATGTGAGAAACGTGCTCACCTTTAGAAATATTTAACTGGGGACAAAGTCAGTGGAGCAAAGGTTTATTTACAGCTCTGGGTTCATGCCTTCATATCCCACATGCACACTTGTCAGTACAAAGTTTCTTATAGTCAAGCCTTTTACATATTCATAGGACTTCTGGGAAGATGAATCCCACCTCCCAACGGCTGATGCAGTCTCCATTCTTTCTTCCAGGAGGGTCTTTTAAGAGCTAGTTAATAAAGGCTAGTAGTCGTCTTTGATATGAACCTTTGACCTACTTACCCCTGTGCATGTGCCAAAAGCCCTTATCTCATACCTTGCTCTGTTACTTCCAGATTAGATGTTGGTTCGATCAAGCATGACTGCCATATGTCCTATGTCCAGCTGCAAAAGTCCCTTGTTCCTATCTGTTTCACAGTTTCAGGAGTTTACATTCTTCCCATCCACCTATGCGATTGTGCTCAAAAGCAGGACACAATGCAAAAACAAAGACAAAGCAAGCTTTTGCTGAAGCAAACTACTTATATTATTAATCACACTCAGGTTGGTTTTCTAAATGCCCATTTGGACGTTATGACCAAAGAATCAAGTTTTCATAAAGAGGTAAGATTTGCCCTCCTTCCCAGAGCCAGTTAACACAGAGCAGGCTGGACGCAGGCGGCCCAAAGCATTATGCCATTTCAAATTTAGCATAAGTTTTGACATTCCCTGCTCTTAAATTTCCAAAGGATACTTATGGTACAGCACCACTTAAATGAGCTACCACCAGCTTAAAAACACTCCTGGCAAACGTGTAAGAGACTAGAAACAGTCCTAAACAAAAAACAAAAACCCAAAGAGGTCACCTAGATGTCTTCAGTCACCAGGCTCCAAGACCAAACTTACCCATAGCTTCAGTCACATTTATTTTTAGTGTTTGGTTGTTCACCCTTGTAGCAGCCAGTTGGGGAAAGAAAAGAGGAGAATCATCTTAACAATATAGCAAAATAAAAATCATCTTTTTGCTATTGAGAGACCAGTTTTACCAGATTGAGTTTAAAATGTCTTCATTCTCCTACCAGAAGTTAGGGCTTAATACATTCTTCTTTAAAGCGAAAGATATTTTGACCATCCTGTTCAGAACAACTGTATTTCAAGTGAAAACAGTGTTTCAGACTAACATGAGAGATGAAGGGATATAAAGGACGGATTTCATGTAAGGACGGACTCCGCTGAAGACTGCTTTTGTGCTACACCTGGGTGTTTTGGTTAAGCTGAGGTGTCCCAGGCAATCCCGTGGAACCCAGGCTTGCTGGTGTGTGTCATGGCTGGACGTCAGCCTCATCACTCACTTCCCTGCCTGATCTCAGTAAGAATGGGTCAGGAGACAGGGTAGGGAAAAGGAAATTAGGCAATATTGTGCTAAATAAGCGTACTACAACTTATATCTTAAGTGCCCACCTAATCTCGTACCCCATTCTCTTCATTTATGAAGGATTTTCACCACATTAACTGTACCAGCTCTAGTGAAGTTATTCCCAACCATCAACTTTAAAATTCCATGACATATCACTCTCCTGAGGGGTATAAACCCACCCCCATTTCAGTTGTCATTCATTTCATGTCTGTTATTACATTCAGAAGCTCTTTGGAGACAACTGCAACCAAGACAGCTACAAAAAGTAATAGATGCTGCTGCACAAATGTGTTCCCTCCCCATCTCTTAAACTTACGATCTGTATAAAAATAGAAATGGGTGAATAGAAGAGCACAACTAAAGAAAAGCTATTTCTGTCACTACAGAAACCACAGCACATTCATGAAAAAGCTAATCACCCTGAAAACACACAAAACCCACGTTTTTTACTTCAGTTTGTTTCAAAGAACCATGATGCTTCCCTCTACCTTTTCTTTTTAACTGTGAGACCGAACACGTGGTCTATGAAGAGCTGAAGTGAAGGACAGGACCAACCAACATGATTCTGTCCTCTCTATATGCTGCAACTGCAAACCACAAGGTATGCCTGTTCCTGCAAAGGTAGTTGTAGAGATGGTACACAAATAACTGCTGCAGAGAACGGACTCTTAACCAAGGAAAATAACAGTTGGCAGACTAGTAAGTTAGAATCTCGGGGTAGGAAATGCCTTGAAAGGCATCAGAGCTGTCTCAGTGAGGTGTACCATTAGAAAAATCTTTCTTGCAAGTCAAAACCATCAATTTTTTTTTTAATGCCATCAATCATACTGAGAAAAACATCATCAAGGGTCACTGATCAGGCACGTGCAGGCAAATGTGAATTCAGGAACTTGACTTTTTGCCAGTCTCCAACTTGTTTCTGCATTAATTTCTCCATTAATTTGATGATTTTTGGACAGAGTTCCAAAATTTGAACACAGAGCAATCCATGAAAAAATAATTGGAAGAGATAACAGGATACATATTTTATACGATTTCTTTTATAATATGCTAACAAAATAGAATAACTGTAATTCTTTCAAGATCAGAAAACTATTCCAAGCTGTAGCGTTACAGCACATGGCAGTCTGTAAACAAAAGCAGCACCCATTTCACTTGTCATCTGGTGCAGCTTCTTCTTTCTGTTCACGTGCTGCTTCACCATCTGGTTACACCGGTGTAGTGGTTAAGGAGCTCTCAATATTGTTGAAGAACCTCAAAATGTCGTCGCTAAAGGAATCAGTTTCTGCTGTTGTGTTTGAAGAGACTTCGTGAGGAAGAGCTGAAGAAGGTAACTCTGGAACTGAAGACAGCAGGTCATCCAACTCAGGCTGCTTGACTGAGCCTTCGGAGCACATGGTTGTGTCTTCAGGGTCTAAAGCTGTGGCATTTTCTGAGAAATGGAAACAGATTGAAAAAGAAACCCAAAACCAACAAATAAACAAAACCTGTCTAACGTGCAGTGCCTCTGGTTACCATACATCTAACAAAATCAGCTTGAATGAGACACAGGCACATAACCAGATTCACAACTGTCAAATACACGGGCTGTGTTACTCACTTCTCCCCAGATCCAGAAAATCTGATGGTACAAGCAGGTTTTTAACAGGCCATGAACCATTTTGTCTGCTGTATTCCTAATGCTAGAGATTTTGGATTTACCATTCCTAAGTCACTCCACCTTTTAGAAGGGAAAGGCATTCATAGTGTGAAGAATTTATTTTTATCTTTTTTTATAGGAAAGTGCATTGAGTTTATGTGGCAAGATTTTAGAAGTGGGGTGGGGGGAACTAAAGGGGTGGCTTCTCTGAGAAGCTTCCCCTGTGTCCAACAGAGCCAATGCCAGCCAGCTCCAAGATGGATCCACTGCTGGCCAAGGCTGTGGCATGTCAGTGATATCCCCTCTGGGATAACATGTTTAAGAAGGGGGAAAAGCTGCACAGGAGCAATTGGAACCAGAGAGAGGAGTGAGGATATGTGAGAGGAACAGCTCTGCAGACACCCAGGTCAGTGAAGGAGGGGAAGGAGGTGCTCCAGGCACTGGAGCACAGATTCCCCTGCAGCCCATGGTGCAGCCCATGGTGAGGCAGGCTGTCCCCCTGCAGCCCACAGAGGTCCATGGTGGAGCAGATATCCACCTGCAGCCAGGGGGATACCCACAGGAGGCTGTGGCCCTGTGGGAAGCCCACACTGGAGCAGGCTCCTGGCACGACCTGTGGCCCATGGAGAGAGGAGCCTGCACTGGAGCAGGTTTGGTGCTGGGCTTGTGACCCTGCAGGGGACCCATGCTGGAGCAGTCTCGCGGGGGGACCCCCCCGGGGCCAGCCTGTTCCTGAAGGACTGCACTCATGGAAGGGACCCACGCTGGAGCAGTCTGTTCCTGAAGGACTGCACCCATGGAAGGGACCCACGCTGGAGCAGCCTGTTCCTGAAGGACTGCACCCATGGAAGGGACCCACCTGGAAGTCTGTTCCTGCGAGATTGCACCCCATCGAAGGGACCCACGCTGGAGCAGTTCATGAGGAACTGTAGCCCCTGGGAAGGACTAATGATGGAGTTCATGGAGGACTGTCTCCTTTGGGAGGGACCACACACTGGAGCAGGGGAAGAGTGTGAGGTTCATCCCCTGAGGAGGAAGGAGCAGCAGAGACAATGTGATGAACCAACTAGAACCCCTATTCCCCACTGCCCTGCACTGCTGTGGGGCAGGAGGTAGAGAATTCAGGAGTAAAGTTGAACTTGGGAAGAAGGGAGGGGATGGGAGGGAAGGTGTTTTAAAGATTTGGTTTGATTTGTCATTATCCTACTCTGATTTTATTGGTAATAAATTAAAACCAATTTCCCCAAGTAAAATCTATTTTGGCCATGATGGCAATTGCTGAGTGATCTCCCCCTGCCCTTACCTTGACCCATGAACCTTTCATTGTATTTTCACCCTCTGTACACCTGAGGAGGGGAGTGTCAGAGTGGCTTTGATGCACACCTGGCATCCAGCCAGGGTCAGCCCACCACAGAAATTCACCATTAAGATGACTGCAATTTTGCTTTCACTTTGCAGGTGTGAAGGCAAACCTATGGTACAAAACCCCATATAGACTGATTTTAGAAATACATACTTCTAAGGTCAGTTTAATCTGGATCATCGACATTCTCATTTAAAGACACACATTCTATAATATAATAAAAAAGCCTATTATTTTTTGACCATTTCTACATCTGGTTTCTGCTACTGTTTCCATCTCATTTTAGCCAGTATCCCTTCTGACTTTTCTTACAGTTGGCTCATTTCCAAAAAGCATGATGCTGTGGAGCAGGCACAAGTTGGTGCCACTCCAGAAATGAGGTCAGGGGCCCAAAGGAAGTCTTGACTACACTTACCAAAATAAGCAGAAGTGTCATTGTTTGACATTAACTTCTCAGTGCCTACTAAAGCATCTGCTGATGGTGTGTTGAAGGAGGCAGATGAAGACATGTCAGACACTTTTAAGTTAGCAAGTTCAGGAAATGAATCAGACATATCTAGAAATCCTGAAGGAGAAAGAAAACATTATAGTACTGGTTTAGATAAAACACAAATTCAGACTGAAAAAGACAGAAGTCAGTGAAGTCCTCTCCCCGCTAAATACATATGAATTTAACCTAAATGTTAGCTGTCATTAGTGGAAAGACCCCTGCAGAATGTTAACCTCAGTCAGGCTTCCAGTACCCAAATTCTACAGCTCTGAAATCCAGTGAAGTCAAAAACTTCAAGGAAAACAACCACCAATGCTCCTAGTTCTTCCTGTAAGTCTCAGATTCATGATGTTACTAGTTTATTTAGATGTCCTCTGAAAAACTGCTGAAAAAAGAACCTGTGAAAATATACCTGGATCCATAACTCTCTGGAGAGGGGGAGGAGGAGAAAGTGAGCTTTCTGGTGAATAGCCACTTATTTCTTGATCTGTGGAATGATCCAAGTTCGTAAGTACTTCAGAGTTGTCACTCTGAGAAGTAGGTGCCAATAACGGAGTCTGGAATGACACAGTAAAAAGGAAAAGCATCTTTCTATATCTAAAGCTTCACCTGAAAATGACCTTCCTATGAAAGCATTCTGCCTCAGTCTCCAAATACACCAATTCAGAGAATCTACGACAGTCAAGCCACCGATTAGGACATGTTCCAACGTAGTCTTTTAAAGCCAGTATGTTCAGAACAGTCCATTCTTAATTCTTCTATGTGTATTTTATTTCCTAGTGAGCAGACCCAGGCAGTCTCCCATCCAAGTACTAACCAAGCCCGACCCTGGGAATCCCGGGTGCTGTAGGCTTTTGTCACCCGGAGGGCCCGGCTAGGTCAGGTGGTGCCCATCGTGGGGCTCAAAGGGTTGAGATAATGACAGATCTGACCAGAGTGTGTTTATTTCCTAGTGAGCAGGGTATTCTTCTAGTGTGATTCTCATTGACTGACACGGTATGCAAGTGTTCCAAATGTGAAGAAAATATCTGGCAAAAATTTCTATCGGCCAGAACTGGTGATCTGCCAGCTGCTCAGCATCAGCAGCTCTCACTTTCTCTTCACGTAATTCTGTTTCATTCAAGCAAAGTTGTATGCTGTACCCAAATATACTGTATTGTGAATGTTCCAACAAGCAGAAAATGTAGAAACTCCAGAGAACATACCAGAGATATGAACTTAATTCTTACATACCTCTGTGTAGCCATCAGTAGGTGCTACAGGAGTTCCAGCTTCTGGCAAGGGTGAAGGTGGTTTGCTTTCTGGCTTTTTCTTGGATATTACAGACTGTGTTGGAATTCTGTGCAAATAGCCATACCCAATACCACATCCTAAACTGTGCAAGGAAAGTAAAACAAGACTTGAAAAACAAAACTAGTATGCATTTTAATTTTTGACTCTAAAACAAAAAGAGTTTGAGTCTTTAATCTATAGCAAGAAACACCTATCTGTAAGAATCATTTTACTTACTTGTAGTATCCAAGGAGCACTCTGCATGTGACATTTAGACATACGTAAGTTAGCTTTCGGTTGATTATTTTTTATCTTTACAAAATACGTAACTGTCCCTGATGTGGATTTTGTTCTTGCTTTAAATGAATGTTTGATTATGAGAACATAGCTAGTGAATCTGACACCGGAGAAGTCAACATAGCTTTTGCCATTGGTTTCAACTCAAACAGGATTGGATCCAGAACATGCCTAATTCCTAGTTCTAAGATAGGGTTTTTTTATGGAAAGATTAACAGTTTTGTGTGACAAGTGTAAGTAAACAAAGCTTAACTTGAAACTGACAAGCTGTACTCAATAGTAATAATACTCTTAGCAGGAGCTCATTTACAGTGAGTATATAACCTGTCATCAGCCAGTGACTGTCCGGAGGGAGATCAGTACCTTCCTTCTCCACCCCAAGCTCCATTGGGAGTCACAACTACCTCTCGAATGGAATCTGCTTCAGTGTTATAAACCATCAGCTTCAGCGGCTTCCCCTCATGGGATTCGATCAGGGAAAAGAAATCCTCCGACTAAGAAAAAAAGAAAGTAGTGGTTATTAAACTCAAAAGTGCAAGACAAGGAGCTGGAAACAAGTTAGCATTTTAGGTAGTTATTTACTTCAACATGAAATATTAAAAACCCAGAGACAGACTAAAACTCACTAGTGCAGTTTGATCTTTAGAGGCAACTTCTTCTTTATTGTCACATAAAAAAAAAAAAGATAATGTTTACCTGAACCATAAAGCATCTACCATAAACATCAACCTCCCCAAATCCCTAAACACTATCCCCACAAATTCTATGTACACACCATTAGATTTATGAAAAACATAAAAAACAGACCCCAAACATACACTTGGCAGGCATGATTGAAGGAACACGGGCCCTACCTCCTGAAGAATCTGATCAGATCCCACGACGTAGTCAGTGTATGGCTGTAGACCAGCTAGAGCTGCAGGAGATGCAGGTTCAACATCCTGTAAAAGAGTGATATTGCATCATCTGCACTTGCAGAAGGATAAACTACCCCACTACCAAAAAGGAAAGCTAACCCAAAAAACGGAGGAAAGAACATTTTGTCTATGGGACAAAATAGAAGTCCTGGAAAAGTCTACCCCTAGGTATGACATCTTGTAAAAAATCCTGAATAAGAAAGACCAAGATGCCACCAATTCAGAATGAGATACTCTGAAGATGTTGAGAAGTTGCATTTATTTAAAAAAACAGAAACATAACAGTCTTTCCTATTCAGTTCTACTCTTTCACCTATTTCTCTTGATCTTAAAACAGTTTTTTGATGCTTTTTGTAACATCAATATTAATTTAATGTAGTTTAGCCATCACAGAGGCACCAATCAGGCTAGAATCTTTTTGCTTTTGCCACCAATTCTTCAAAATAAGATGAAAAAACCTCCCCAACACACACTATTTGGTCCAGTTGGGATGGAGTTATTTTGCTTCATAGGAACAGGCAACATTTAACAGTGATCCACTACTTTTCCCTATTCAGATACCTCAGACAAACCTTCAAGACTGCTTCTGCGTTTTTTTCAGCATGGTACTTCCACATACATGTTACTTCTAAACATTACCCTTTAAAACAAGGTTGTACAAACATTGACAAGCCACCAAAGAATTCTGTCTCACCAAAACATGCCACACGTGTTCATTGGCTCCCTGGAAACTGCAGAACCTCACACTGGCTCCAAGAAGACCTTGTCCTCCCCACATGTTACTAGGGATCACCTCCACCTCTCTTATTTTCATGGTTTTGATATTGTACACCTCCAGCTTCACTGCTTTTTCAGCATTTGCCTTCAGTAGATCTTTCAGCATATTGTTTTCCTTATTCTGTAGAGCACAGAAAGAGATATATGAGTAATATTATTTCTAATGCACCTGTTGTATAGATGTCATGCCTGTGTCAGAATTTGAATACAAAGAACCAAAACGGTCAAAGTTTAGGCTCTGTGCTTCACAAACAGCCCCAGCAGTTCAGTTTTCTTTTATTAGATAGAAGTCAGCACTGTCAGCTTACGTCCCTTCACATAAGCACTTACTACTACTCCATTTAATCACTTACATTCATGCTC